CCTCTCCAGGTCTCGCTGGATGGCAGCACAGATGAAAAGGGTTGAGCCTGTTTCATCTACCAGAAATGGATTTTGGCCTCTGATGGCTGGCAACAGGGGGTCTATGGAGCAGAGCTACAGTGGCATAGGTCCTCAGGTGTGCTCTAGCAGGTTGGGCGAGTCCATCAGCTTCTTTGGATATAAGAGGTAGACAAGGTCTGCTCAGGTGCAGGATAAAGTTCCTGATAGGACTTCTGCATTTCCATCTCACCTGTTGGCTGCAGAATTGCACAATGACACACCTAGGCTGCTTTTTCTGTTTTTTTTCCCCCAGTTCTGTGTGCCTGGGTGAATTTGCAGAAGACGGTGGATTTATTTTTCTTTTGTAACTTTTAAGTGGATAGTGCACTGGATGGTGGAAAGGTATTTGGATGAGCATGGGTTAGGGTCCTTGTTGGGTGCAAGGGTGTTGTTCCCTTTCTATCCAAGCTGGTTTATGACAATAGTGTAGTTGTCCCCATTCCTGCCTGGCTACACAGGTTAAAGCTGAGAGAAGGTAGTGACTTTTCTTCTTGTTTTTTGTGGCACAGGCTCTTCAGACCCAGAGGAGGACAAAGATGATGGCAAAGTGCATCTCCTTGAGCAACTATAACCTGAGCAGTACCAACATGCTGATCATTGGTGCAGGTATTGGGTGGCATGTGCTGGCACCACCACGTGTTTCCCTGCCCAGGCCAGTGTGCGGAGAGCAGGGTGTTTGTGTGCTGTGCACTTTCTGTCACCCCTTCTGTGTCCCTCCCTGTGCAAAGGGTCAGGCCAGAGGGTCTTCCTGAGCCACCTTGTCCTACAAGGCTCTGGTCTGTGGAGCTTTGTATTTCCCTGTCTCAGCCCTTTGTAATGGATGCCCTGGGCCATTTTCCCTCCGCACCCTCCCCAGATACATCAGAAACCCCCAATTTCCACCACTGATAAGAGTAAAGTCCTCTCAGATGTTCCTGTATTATGGATACACCTTTTCCTCTTGGAGTCCTGCACATACCTGTCTCATCCCATTGCAGCTGCCTGTAGCTCCAAAGCTCTTGCCTCAAGATGTTTCTCTAAGATAAATTCTTCCATCTTCACAGAAAATATCAAATCCCTGCATGAGACAGCAAAAATGCCAAGTTATCTTTTCTTATCTCTTGTGTAACACAATTTGTGTAACACAATTTTTGTAGATAGCTGAGTTTGCCCATTTCTGGAATGGGTTGGATGCTGGGCTGGACCATGTCGTGGTGAACTGGAGAGTGGGTAGAGGACACAAGCTGTCTGGTGTTGGAGCTGGTGCTGGGAGGGAACCGCTGCACCTGGCACATGGGTTGTTTTTACCAAATCCAAGCTGTGGAAATGGGGGGCACACTGTGATCTCCTGCTCCTGCCATCTAAGTTGCAGCTTGCACCCTGAGCAGGGGAGAAAACCAGCCTGACTGGCTTTTCCCTTGCTGCTGGGCAACATTTTTCCCTTCCTTGTGCCCCTGCTGATTGTTGACCTAAAGCCAGGGTGTGACACTGCTGCTCCCCCAGGTCAGCTGGGCCATCCTGCTGTGTGGCAGGGCTGAACAGTCATCAAAATCCTCAGCAAGGATGTTAGCCATTGTTGAAGGAACTTTCTTAGGCTTCACCAGATAAATTTGCAGGTCTATTAAAGACCAAGGTCTGTTCTGCTGGATGGGAAAGGAGATTTCAAAGCTGAGGTTGTGAGGAAGAAGTGTTGAGAAAAGAATACCCTCCAGCCCTGCATCGAGGACCGAGATCCAGCCATGCCCAGCAGAGCTGAGGGCAAGTGACTGTGGCCCCTTGCTCATGTGAGGGTCAACCTGGCATCAGTGCAGCATCAGTCCTGCCTCAGCATGCTTCAGGCAGCATGCACGGGCTGTCCACCCACCTGTCTCTTCTTCCCCTGTCCCCTACCTCCATCAACAAGTACATTTTTTTGATGGACCAAACCACAATTCCGTCCAGGCCCACCTTTCATTGGTATTACAGCAACAAGTGTAATGATGAGTGTCCTTACAACACTCATCATTGAGCAAGGCTTCCCTGGTTGAGAAAAGACTCAGTTCTTCTCACTTGAGCTCTGAAGTCTCACCACTTTGGCGAGGGAAGAAGGGACATGCCCATCAGGCTGCTTGGCTGCAGGGGGTCAGCACGCCTCTGTTTGATTTAGCCTTTTTTCTGTGTTTAAAAATAAGCAAACAAAAAAACCTCAAAGAAATTACATGCAAAATCCTCTACAGTGAAGCACACAACCAACAGGTTGGCCATGAGGAAACGGTTCTTGAGGCAGAGGGTGGTGGAGCACTGGAACAGGTTCCCCAGGGAGGTGCTCATGGCACCAAGCCTGACAAGATTCCAGCAGCATTTGGCCAAGGCCCTGAGGGACATGGTGTGAATGTTGGGATTGTCCTGTGCAGGGACAGGAGTTGGACTCCATCATCCTTGTGGGTCCCTTCCAGCTCGCAACATTCGGTGATTCTATGAACACTTCAGCCATGAAGGAGGGAGGAATTGCTGCCCTCCGTGTTCAGCTGTAAATTCTCCTGGAGCTGAGTGTGGAGAGGGGAAGCTGCAGGACTCTTCCCCATATAGGGGAGTGCAGGGGTCTGAGCGACCCCCTATGCCTCTGAACTTGTGAGAGGCGCTGGCAGCACTCCTCAGGGGTGCTCTCTGGGGGTTTGTGTGCCTTCAGGGACAGACAAGTCCTGCAGAGGATTAATGCACAGAGGGTCCCTCCTCCTGCCTGGTGCATCCACCCCGACCGGCTTCCTGGGCAAGTTGAATTGGGAAGGTCCATGAAGTAAGGCCAGATCTAGTGGAGATGGTGATTTTGGAGTCAGCCCTGGTGGGGTTTAGGAGCAAAGGGTTCAAATGCCCTATACACACAGTTCCCTCTGGTCTTCCTTCTCCCTTAGGGGCAGCTGGACTGGTCTGTGCAGAGACCTTGCGCCAGGAGGGTTTCTCGGACAGGATTGTGATGTGCACGATGGACAGACACTTACCCTATGACAGACCAAAGCTCAGTAAGGTTTGTATCACTTTGGGTACGTCACATTCCTCCCCAGGTTTAAAATCTGCCCTAGGACCTTTCCCCACTGTTTTTCATTGCAGCAGCATGTTTCTTCTTCCTTATTCATCCTGTCTCTGTTTTCCTTTTAATTTCCTTTTCTATCAGTGACTGAAATATGAAATACAAAAGAGGAGTTGTTCAAACTCTGAACTACGAGTACTCCAGCACAGAAACAAGGACATTCTTCACAGGTCTAGCAATAGCTGTCTTGGCCAGCTCGTACCTGGATGGATCTTCTTATGTTTCTGGATTGAAATCTTCAGGGCAATGAAATGTGGCTTGTGAAAAAATTGTATTATCTACCAGGTTTTTTATTAGTGCATGGTTCTTACTGCCCGGTGATGCTCCGTGCCATAATTATTATGATTATTGGTCATCATCACAACTTGGTAACTTGATCGCAGAGCAAAGATCACTTTTTCTGGCACACATCCCATTTTCCATTCCAATTTGTAGACACAGGGTGATCTTCTAAACATATTTTTTATTACTGATTTCTGAGACTTGATATCAGACAGCAACTCAGTTGGACAGCAGCATTTGGTCTTGAAGCTCGGAGATAACATAAGAACAGGCAGTGTATGTATTCTCCTTTATGTCAGGGGTGCTTATCTATGGAGGCTGGTACTCTGCAGTCACAGCATCTAACTTCCAGGCCCAAGGGATAAGTGATTTTCAAAGGAAGGCAAATATGCATGTGGCTTTTTGAGAGCATTTAAGGCATTTCTGGGCTTGGACAAGACCTGCTTGGGATGAGGAGCAGCTGGCTGAAACCTGCGTCCAGAAGTCACAGAGGTTGTACTGAGGAGCTCGGAGAAGCTTGCAGTTCCAGTCCCAGCCAGGCAGCTCTCCAAAACACTTATCCCTGCTGTGTGAGTCTTAGACTGCCTTTTCCATTCTCTGTTAAATAGTAAGGACATCTCATGCCAGAGATGTTATGCATGGTTTGTGAAAATCTCCACTAAACACTTCTGGCTGTAGTTGCTTTTGGAAGGTGCACAAAGCCCATGGAGGAGAAGGCAGAATTTTTGGGAATAGGCTAGAAAAAAAGGGGATTTTTCTAAATCCTGTTGTGAGTGGGACTAACCCTGGAAAGGGTCAATAGAGGAGGAGCAAGTAAAGCTGTAAGCACCAGCATTCCTGCTTCCTGAAACTGCAGCATTGCCCTTCCTCTGCCTTTCTGAATGCCTGTTACCAGTCTGTCCTGAGGTCCTGCTGGACTGTTCCTCTGTCCCCTTTGGACCATGACCTGCTCCCTGATGTGCTGCAACATCCCCGATATCATCTCAAGAGCACTGAGCAGCAAAACTCATGGTGGTTGTGCAGTGCTCTGCACACTGACATGGAGGCCACCACTCCTGAGCTGTAGGGCCAGACATTCCTCTCTGTAAACACTGTGTGTTTAAAGAATTTGCAGTAGAACCTGTATGACCCTGCACCTGCCTCACCTCCTAAGATATGGGTCTCTTCTGAGCTCAGCATTATGTGAAGCCATGGTAAGTGAATGTCCTACAAGGCTCATGCCAGCCCCTGACTGAGCCACCTCCAGGGAGAACGACCTTGTGCATCCATCCCCAGGGGCAGATGGTGAAGCCCTTGATTGCCACATCCCCTGTCCCTCTTGGGTCAAGCCAAAATGTCACACCTGTGTGGCACGGGTGGGTGATGCTACTGCTTACCACTGTGTGATGTTGCAGGGCTTGATGATGGCATGTGTGTGGCTGTGCTGTGCTGCAGGCAGGGAGGGATGCACTGGACCATGGAGCAGCCTGCACACAGGTCACTTGGTGCTCAGCTTGTCCTCAGCCTATGTCCTCAGCTTGTCCTCAGCCTATGTCTGAGCTTGTGTCCAGAGAGTTAGGAGGACGGATGAACTCAGGGTCAATGTAAGCTCAGTGCTACATGTAAGGATGATGTAGGTCTCACCCAAGTGACCAGGAAAGGCTGGGAAAAGCAAAAACCTTCATTTTGCAGGTAAAGATGAGCAGATATGGGCCATATCCTTGTGTTTCAGCTTTTGAGGGAATTTTTGCTGCGTAACTTGGGTGCTTTTGCAAGTGTTGCCCTTGCTGTGTTAATGCTGATTGTTCTTATTGCTCTTTTAGCTTCCATTTCCTCTGGCAACTGGTTGTTTTCCAAATAATGGGGCTTTTTTTTTTTTGCTCCTATGAACTTGTGTGTGTTATGGGGAGCTGCAGTTAGAGCAGCTTTGCAGACACTTGGAAGCACTTGCTGTGGTCAGCCAGTGCCACCCCTGCACTGAGTAGACAGAGAAGGAACCAGAGTCCAGTCCAGCATCTTGTGATGACTTTTACTTGAAAAAGCTTTGATTCTAGGCCCTGTAGAGCAACTCTCTTAGCCCATGCCGTAAGGACTGACTTCAGACTCCTGCTGACTTGTGTTGGTACCAGGCAGTTCTACACTCGCCTTTTCAACCCACCGCTGTTGACAGAAAAATGGCTTTTTTTGCAGTCGATGGATTCCCACCCGGAGCAGATCACCCTACGCCCCAAGGAGTTCTTCCGCTCCTATGACATCGAAGTCCTGACCGAAATGCAGGTAAGGAGAGCCCTGTGTGTACCTGCAGGCATCTTCTGTGATGCTGGTAGGCAAAGGCTGTGTTTAGGGAATGTGGCAGCCCTCTCTGTTCTTAACTCACTGGATACCATCACAGAAACGTTTGGTGTCCCCCACACCCCCTGTTTTGTGCCCCATAGTGCAGGTTGCCTGTGGTTGTTCAAAACCACAGTCAATGGAATTCCTCCTGTGGCAGGAAAGACACCTTGTGCAAACTCCATCAGGACCATCATTTCTTACCTGTCGTTTGTGAGCATCCTCACCTAGATCTGGGGTGACCAACTGGCCTCTGATTAGGATGATCAGTCTGCAAGCAGTGCAGACAGTGATGGTTTAAACATTTCTCCCCATTGTTTTATTTATACTGGGAGGCAATTAGGAATATTTAAGGCCTGGGTTGGCTGCGCTGTGGAGAGGAACACAGGGGACTAACACCTAACAAACGAGTTGGTTGGGCTGGGAGCTCACTGAACATCTGGGATTTCGTCCCTTAACATTATTTAGGAATGATTTCAGGTTGCGGCTGTGGATATCAAGAACAAGACAGCCGTGTTCAAGGATGGGTTTAAGATGGAATACAACAAGCTGCTGATAGCAACTGGAAACACGTAAGCTACGAACAGACATCTTAAAAATCAAGAGAAACTGTTATATCTGAGAATGTGCCTGAGGATAAGGGGTCAAATATGGCGGTTGAATTAAAACATTGAATTTGTTTGCAAGAGTGTTTATAGAAAAGGCAAGGAACACTCATTGGATAGGTCTGTATATATCCATATCTATATCTAATCTGTATCTATCTATCTATATCATATATCTGATCTAGTTAAATATGTCCATGCTCACTGCAGGAAGGTTGGACTAGGTGACCTTTAAAGGTGCCTTCCAATCCAAACCATTCTATGATTTTATTATATATATCATATATATCTATCTCTCTGTATCTATAAAGCTGTGCTGGGAATGTCTGCTTAGCCAGAGCTGAAAAGCCTCTGTGTCACCCAAGTGTCACCCAGAAAGCGGGTAGCACCAGCCATGGGGGCTGGCGGGATGGCTGTGGGATTTGCTACCTGGGAGGTTTCGTGGTCAGTGTCAAGGTCAAAAGGGTGTTAACAAAAAGTACCCACTGAAGCAATTTGGGGTGCATGGGTTGTCTGATGTTAAAGAAACTGATGGAAAACAGGTTTGAAAAGGTGGAGGAATTTGCCAGCAGCACCCTAACGCTGTGCTGCTCCCTGGGAGCTGGCTCGAGAGCATATGGGAGAGACGCAGGAAATTACCATGGAGTTAATCATCTTACAATACTAAAATTAATGCCCAGGACCTTGAACGTATTTTCTTTAACAAAAGCTTCCAAAATGGAAATATGCTGAATATTTTTTTAGAGGTCACTTTTGCCATGTTGCTCTTTTTTTCACCCCTCAATAATACTCAACCCTGACAATCAGATAATTCATCCATATGAATTTCCATCTTTCATTCCCTGAATTTCCATCTTTAATTTCCTGATGACCTTTAAGACCTTTCTCGACAATGAAACCTTAATGCTTCTCTGTTACAGCCTTAATTAGGTGTTGCTGTTGCCCTAGCCTAACAGACCCCTTTATGAGGTTTGTCCCCAGAAGGGAAGTTTTCAAGGCTGAAACGTGGTCCAGCCGTAGGGAAGGGCAGCAGTGACATACCTGCTCCTGCTCTGCTCAGCTGCTGCTGGGACACAGGGCATTGCCCAAGTCTGGCATCATCCCTGGTGCCCTGGACATAGTGAGTCAGTTTCTTTTCAATAGGGAATTTGTCAAAACTGGCACTTCCAGATGAAAATGAGGCACCCTGGCTCCCTTTCCTTGTGCTCCTAACACCAAGGCACAAAACAAAGTAGGAAAAATGCAGCCCCAGCAAAATTTCTCATCTGGGGAAGGGATGGTGTAGAACAGCTGGAGCAGAACTCCCATTGCAACCCTGTGTGCCACCAACAGCAGCTGCCCCAGCACGGGCTGGCGGCCAAAATGCCGCCTTCACCAGCCGCCTAATCAGCTTCAAAAGAGGATTAAGCCTTTGGCAGTCATTTCAAAATCCTTGTGCACAAGCTCCAGGTACACTGGGTAAATGTTTTTAAGGTACCTAAATTATTTAGTATCGTCTGTCCCATTTCCTGATGTGGGTTGGGTATGCAGGGGCCAGATATTTAAAAATACATAAGTTCCAGTGAGTGTTTGGGGAGGACACGATTAAACTGCCACAGCACCAGCAGCGTGCCCTGGGAATCTGCATCTGCAGAGGATTATGATACTTTCAATATCTAGCTCCAAACCATCTGCTGGAGGACAGAGTGAGTTCTCTGTGCCCCATTAAGCTTCTGAAATTTTACAAGCTTGCAAAGCAGTACCCATGCTGTGCTGTGTGGTGTGGCCCCAGAAGGGAGCTCACCCCAGCCCAGCGCATTCGCTGGTACACAGTTGGGGTTGGGGGCGGCTGCCGAGCAGCCCCTGCTGCTCCATCATTTGCGGTCGTGCGCTGGGCATTGTCCACCAGCATTTGGTTTTTAACATGTTACATATCCAACCTAGAGAAAGGTGAAGAAAGAAAAGGCTGAGATGCTGCTGGAGCCCCAGAAAGGGGGTTTGCAGTCCCAATTGCTGCCGTGGGGTCAAGAAAAGCACCTGTATCATCCTCAGTGTGTGTTTTTCAGGCCCAAAGCTCTCAGTTGTAAAGGCAAGGAAGTGGAAAACGTTTTCAACATCCGGACACCTGAAGATGCCAACCGTGTTGTGAAGCTGGCGACAAGCAAGAATGTGGTTATCGTGGGAGCATCCTTCCTGGGTGAGTGCTTGCTCTGCAGGTGTCCGTGTCTTCCTGCAGATGGCCCCAGTCTCTCGCCCAGTTTGTCACTGCCCAGTTAGAGGTAACTCCCTCCTCAAACTGGACCTTGGGGTAGTCCAACCTCCAGCTCCAGGTGGGTTGGTAAGAACTTCTCCTTGCTGAAGAAATTGATTTTACTGAAGAGGCTGGACGTTCAGCTTGCAAGGACACAGATATCGCTGTCCCAGTGTGGCAAGTCCAGTACTGGTGTTTGTGTGGTTTCAAATCTGATGTGTCTAGATTTGGCTTCAGCTGGGAGAATCTTGTTTGTAGATGGGTTTATTTCTCTTTTACTTTTTAGTAGGGTGAAGAATTTTTAAAATACACAGGAAAAGAATATTATAGTTTCGTTGATGGTTCTTCTTTTCTCTCAACATATCAAGAACCATAGTTCTAATAAAATTATTGTGGGTTCTGCAAGCCTTAAGTATAAGTCATCATTAGTCAGGGGATTTATTAGTAAATGTTCAGCATTTGCTTTTCTTCTTTTAAAAAAAAAAATCCTGTTTTAATGGTTCAATCAATCCCATCCACAGAAAAGCATCTGGTTTGGAGGGCCAATTGCAAACTGCAAGTCATCAAAAAGATCTGTTTCAAAAAAAAAATCCCACAGATAAATGTCTTGGTGAAGGTCCCCATGCAATTGCCAGCACCAAAATTGTCCCGTTCTGATTGCAGAAAGCAGATCGTTGCAAGGGCTATTTTCAGACCACAGCTCATTACCTCTGCTGAGACAGTCCCAGCTGCAAGAGGAAGGTTTCCCTCCTCTGAGGTCGTTGCTCCAAGTGCTACAGCTTCCTGGGGAACTTTGGGACTTCATCACAGCAGTTCCTCTCTTCAGTCTTTGAAACTTGCATCTAAGAGCAAATTGCCATAAATCTCACTTGAAATTATGTGGCCTCTTGTGGCCGCGGGGTCTGGTGGCACCCCAGATCTCCCAGTAGAGCAACTCCAGCCTCCCCAGCCAGGAGAAGGCAAGGTGCCAGGGATGCAGGGCAGTGCTGGGGGGGGCCTGCAGCTGCTTGGACCTGCTTCTGTTCCCCAGGGATGGAGGTGGCTGCCTACCTTGCAGACAGGGCCCACTCAGTGTCCCTGGTGGAACTGGAGGAAGTCCCCTTCAAGAAGTTCTTCGGGGAGAGGGTTGGCCGTGCTGTCATGAAGGTGACCTCGCTTTCCTATCTGGGGGGTGGTTTTGGTGACAGAGTGGGACCTGCTTGTTTCACTTATTGCACTAATTAATCTGTTATTTGACATTTACTGATTAAACTATGATGGTAGCAATCACTAGAAAGAAACAATGGGCTTCATCTTCCCTCTCATGGTCCATGTGCTGTAAAGCATCTTATCTGGGCATGTGTTGGGGACGGAGGTGGTGCTGACCCGCTTTGTGGCACTGGTCGAGGTGAGCCCAGAGGGTGGGTAGGGCAGTGTGGGGGGCACAGGGACACCAGGAGGAGGGTGGCTCAGGGTCTTGATGTCCCCTGCTCTGTTTCATATCCCCACTGCAGATGTTTGAGGGCAACAGGGTCAAGTTCTACATGCAGACAGAGGTGTCAGAGCTGCGGGAGCAGGAGGGCAAGGTAAGGTGTAGGGGGCACCCCCATGGCATGACTCCTGGGCTGCCATTCCCTTGGCCATTGAGGTTTTTCCCTCTACTCTTTCATAGCCCCTGAAATTCATATTCCTGCATTTAGCTCCCAGGATCTCCAGCACGGGGTGTGGGGTGCTTTCATTGCTCCCACTCTCCTCCTGCTGCTGTTATAAGGAATTATGGTCAATTTGCATGTCAAAAATGAAGCGAGATGTCAGCTTGTCTCACTGCTGCTGCAGGGTTTGGTTGTCCCTAAAATAATCATGATGTCCCCTTGTGTCTCCCGCAGCTGAAGGAGGTTGTGCTGAAGAGCGGGAAGGTCCTGCGCGCTGACGTCTGTGTCGTTGGTGTTGGTAAGGGACCGTTGCTGTGGGGACAGAGCCGGTTGGGCTGGTGGTGCTTTGCTTCATGGAGGGGATTTGGCCGCGGCAGGTCCCCGGGGCCAGGTAGCTGGGGGTGCTGGTGGTGATGTGCCAGCCCCGCTTGGTGGTCACACGTGAGTCTATGTAGCAAAGCTGAAAAAGGCCCTTCTGGAGCCTCCACCCCAAAATGCAATTGAAAATAGATTTGGAAAATAGTAATGGTTTCAGTTTTTCCAAAAAACCCCAAAAACCATTCAAACCAGTTTAATTCTCTCAAGTAGTTTGTTTTAAGGTCAAACAGAATTTTTTTTTCTCTTTTTTTTTTTTTTTTAACTGCTGCCATTGCCATAGAAGAGGATATTTTTTCTCCTTTACACTTGTGGGGAAAAAAAAAAATCCCCTTTTCACTCTGTAACTTTTCAAAATGTTACGGACTGGAAGAATCACAGAATTAGTTTAATTCTGCTTTTGTTCTTTTATTGTCTGCTCTGATTTGTGAAAGATAGAGGAAAAAAATGATCGAAAAAGGAAAATGAAAGGTGAAGAAAAGGTATAGGTTGTGGGGGAGGCAGAGGAGCCCTGTCTGGAAAACTGCAGGTTCCCTTTTAAATATATTTTTTTTTCAAAATATCTATAAAAGAGAAGGGGATTGAAAATTATCTTCAAGCATTAGAAAAAGGTGGTGGGCAGATTACAGCGGTGCACTGATGGCTTGGAGAGCGGTGGGGACCCTGGGGGGGCAGAGGGTGATGTAGTGGGAGCAGCAGGGGCTCTGTAGGGTGCCTGGCTCTGCTCCCCACTCCTGGAGCATCCCGCTACCCTTCCCTTGGGGCAGACAGGGTGTCTGGGCAGGGGGAGATCTGCTGGGCTCCATCAGCCCCCTGGAGCTGCAGGGATGCCCTTTCACCGTGCCGACAGCCCTTGCCTTCTCCTACAGGCGCAGTCCCAGCGACAGGCTTTCTCAAGCAGAGTGGCATCAACATCGACTCCAAAGGGTTCATCGTGGTCAACAAGGTGAGGCTGGGGGGAATCCCCTGCCAGTGGGGAGAGCAGGGGGACTGTGTCTGCTCTCCTCCCAGATGAGCTTTCCTGGGTCTCCAAATTGATGTCACAGGGATGTTTCATCGGCCAAGATGCTGAGACACCAGGAGCATCACGCTGGAGCACCAGGGACCCCCCTGCAAGTGAGGGGTTTGCAAATCCCAGCCCCAGATGCTGTGGCTTGGGTCTGGCTCCTAGCTGTCCTGGAATGGTGTGGATATTTTGGGGGGAAAGAAATTGAGAAAGATGCAGCTTTTCAAGGCTCCCAAGGGATCCCATCTTTCCTCCCCACCACCAGTGACTCCAATGGGAGCGGTGATGGTGCTGATGGGTGTTGTGTGCCGTGAGCAAGGAGCGTGTTGGGGCAGCTGGGAGTCATTGTCACCCACTTCTGTGCTTGTTGCTCATACTGGCAATAAGCCAGACAATATTTGCAAACAATGGCAGATCCCAGTCTTCTAAGAGGGGCTCCAGGACACCAGTCTGTGTCTCTTTTTTTCTGGGTAACCCACTGGCAGAGGGATGCTGTAGGTCCCTGCCTATGTGGTCTGCTTTGGAAGTGAAGAACACTAAATCAAATCCCACCTGGGGGTCCTGCAGCCAAGCAGAGGTTGTCCTTGTGTTCCTGGGGACCATGGAAGCTCTAGTGCAGTTCCCTGTTTCTGTTTGTGCAGCGTGCAAACCCCCCTGACACACACACATCTGCTTCCTCCCTACAGATGATGCAAACCAACATCCCCGGAGTCTTTGCAGCTGGTGACGCCGTCACGTTCCCGCTGGCCTTGAGGAATAATAAGAAGGTGAACGTCCCTCACTGGCAGATGGCCCACATGCATGGTAGGTGCTTTTGCAGTCTTTGCTTTGCGACAGAGAATTGCTTCTGGAAAAGAGAGAACATTTCCATGCCCTCTAGTGAGAGAATGAGGCAACTGCCAACAGGGAAACCAGGCAGTTGTATTAAACATTTTGAGGCGTGTGTATTTTATCCTGTCCCATATGCCTTTGTTTGTCAGCCTCCTTGACATGCCTTGCCTAATGATGCCTCGTTACAAACACCGAGGTGCCAGGGACAGGCTTTACCGTGCGCCGTGTGCTCCCTGGCATCTACAGGAGCTCGCTCCTCTCCTTGCCTCAGGACACTTAGCAGCTCACATCCTGGCTCACGTCCCCAGCTGGGCTGGCCACACTGCCCAGGAACATGCTGCAGAGCTCAGACTTTTCTCCCCTTCGTGCCAGAAAGCCTGGAAACCCTGATGTGAGCAGCTGCCCTCAAGCTTTCCAAGACCACAACCCTGTGGGGAGGTTGACCTCTGGGTGAGTGCCCAGGGTGAGAGCTTTCACAAGCACACCTCCTCAGTTAGCCTTTAGACACAGCCCCTTTGATGCTGGTCCAAATGTGCCCCTGTGGCAGGGACTGTACCCTAACAGTATCCATGCCCCCGGGGTTTTATCCATCCCATTCCTGTTTGTGATGGGAGCTCAGCAAGCTCTCAGCCCTGTCACTGTTGCAGAAGTTGGGTTGAAACTGGCTCATGAGCATGTTGCTTATGCCAGTGGAAGTGATGAGCTGGTGGGATCAGTACTGCCGGGGAGGAGTCTGAGCCCAGCCTTGGACAATGCAATGGGTTTCCTTGTTAGCACTTGTAGATGTATGAGTTTTTTTAACCTAAGCAGAAGGTTTTGTTTTCCCTGTACTCTGGGACAAGAGCTGTAGGTGCTGTGTTGCGATGGGATGACAGACCACAACGCTTGCCCCAGCATGGAGCTTCCTCACTTATTCTGCTGCTTCTCTCTTCCAGGCCGTGTAGCTGCACTGAACATGCTGGCCCATGGCATGGAGATCAGCACAGTCCCATATTTGTGGACGGCTATGTTTGGGAAGAGCATCCGGTATGCAGGTAAGGGGCTCCCCAAGGCTGGTGTAGAGTTTGTGCTGGTGGAGGTGTCCTGGGATAGAGAAGCCACAGCCACCTCCCTTGATGTGGACCCTCCACGCCAGCCTCTGCCTTGGGTCTGCTTCCCTTCTTGGATCCTGGGGTCTGGTATCTCCTCCAAAACCTGTCTGCTCATGGCTGTGGGGTATAGGGCCAGAGGGATGGTCATGAGGGATGAATAGAGACAGTGTCTCCCTGAGCTTGCATTTCTCTGGACAAGAAGGGGTGCTTTTTGGTACCCTCAGCTGATGCTGGTCTCCTGGTGACCGCAGGATGCTCTTTGTGTAGCTCTGGATTGCAATGCTTGGTTGTAGGGGCTGGAGCTGGATCCAGGGGAACTGTTACTGAATCCACTGCTTCTCTGCCTTCCAGGCCATGGGGAAGGGTTCGATGATGTTGTCATTCAGGGGGATTTAGATGAACTGAAGTTCGTGGCATTTTATACCAAGTAAGTGTTTCTCTTCTCCATGTTCCTGCACAGGCATTTGTCTAAGCTTCTTCTGCTGGGCTGGAAAATATTTTTGCTAGAGCTTCTGTCAGTTAGTTTTGTTCCTCTCTGGACACTGAGGTTGCAGGACATTAATAAAAGACCGTAAAGAAAAAATCTGCTAAGCATAAAACAAGTTAAACTGGTCTTTGAACTGTCTGTGCCGGATGTAAGCACTTTGTCTGTTCACATATCTGAGAGCAAATTATGACTTCTATTAATTTGTTGCTGGCAATTCCCATCAAATATTTCATAGAATCATAGAATCATAGAA